ACTTTTAAAGCACTATTAATATCGTGACTTCATTTTAAAGTTTGTCTCATATTCCATCGGCCCTTTCTGGTTTATTTTTTATTTAATATCATCGACACAGTGCTAAATTCTCTTTAAAAAAGAAGGTCGAAAGACAGATTAAAATGTTATGTAAGAAAACATATTCCACACTCATCGGTTGTTGTTGATTTGAGCAGAAATTTCAAAACATGGTATTCATTTCACAATGTTGATCATTTTTACAGTAAGCATGTCTTTTTCATGAAGATACATAAGTCTGAACAGAATTCCTATGATCCTATGGCTAATGGCTATGCTTTTGTTTCTAAAAATTATTCCAGTTTGAGGGGCGGTGTGTTTCCTAATGCAATTATGAGCCATGATTCATCCTGGAATTGTTTGACTGAGAGGCTTGCTCTCAACAAAGCAGGGATCTAAAGTACCTAAACACCCCTAAAGATGACAGTGGAGTATCAATTGAGCAAACAGAAGATTTTACTGATGCATTATATCCCATGGATGGCATTGAACTCCTGATCTCAAAGAAGGCTTGTGTTTCCGAGAAACACTGACTACTTCGAAAATAGTTCGTAACCAAAGACAAGAGAACAGTACGTTTATTATTTCACTTCTTGTTTGTGCGTTAATAACTGTTTTTACACAGGACTAAGTTCAATCCCTCTAGCAAGGTGCTAGAAAAATCACCATCCTATCCAACCTTTAAACTATCGAACGCACTTCACTAATTTATGATTACTACTAGTTTATTTAATATCATCGACATGTCACTGAAACAGATTTTGACGCCTCCCCTGGTCGCAAGACGAAGAACCCTAGTGAGAGTATGTAAGGAATGCTAGGAAAATTTCCTACCATTTCCCTGCGGTACTTACAGTAGAAGCCCCGTGCGTCCCGTCATGTTTGAGGCCGCGCCAGGAAATGGTAACAACAATTCCATGAAAAGCGCCTCGTCAGTAAAATATACTACAATAAATTGACTGCCATCGGTAAGATTTTAACTCCCAAACCAATTCGTAAACTGTACTCTTTAACAAAGCTACTTTGCATTCTACTGTGTACTGTCTACTACAGCATCTATATTTTCAGTTGCCTTGCAGCAATTCAAGAATAGACCTAATTGAACTAATCAAGGCAACCGACAATTAATGTTGTTTATGGCGCGCTAACACTAGCTAGTTGGAAATGATTCGTTTAGTAGCGATGAAAAAAAGCCATCAGTTTCTCGTGATCTCAACTGCTGACTTCCGATTTGCGATGAACTGAAAAGCACTTAAAATAGTGTTTATTCATTGCAATTCACTCAGTGATGAGTGTGAAGAGTCGAAGAGGACAAAACTATGCCGATAACAAAAAGAAGATAAAAGTTAAAATGCAGAGGTACAACTTTCATTGTGACCGCCAACTCGAGAATGTAGCCGTGACAAGTCACGGTCACAAAGCATTACAATCTTTTTTTTTTTTAATGTGCTTGGGCAACACGTTACTTTACGAACCCTTCTGACAGAGAGTTCTAGATAATCCCTGCCCTAAGGTACATAAAAACATTCAATGGAATTCCTAGCTAAACAAAGCTGTTATTTAGACCAAACGACTTAAGACCGAAATGTGGTAGAAGTTGGGGCGAAAAATTAATTGAAAATGAAAGAAACATAAACACACTTCCCCATCATGTTGTAATATTTACTCTTGCAGGCTAAAGATAATTTCAGGAAGTTGCCCCTGTTCTACTTCAGTTGTACCAGCCAAATCTACAAACTTAAATGTAACCCCTGAACTCTCAACATGGCTATTACCATTCCTTCCCCCAAAAGAGTCAGGACCACTTATTGCAGCAGCAATACCATACGTGGTGCCTTTAATTATAGAAACAGGGCAGTGAAACAGAACATCAAAGCCCCAAAAATTCTTTGATTTGTTGTGCAAAGATGAAAATGTACCTTCAGTAGATACAACAGTAGCGTAACTGGTGCACTGATATTGATATAACGTAAGACTGACAGAGTAATCATTACCCTCACTACCAAACAAGTAGACCCCGTTCAACAGTATGTTTTTGTTTACACAGAAAATTAACATACTAATACCATTATTACTACAACCTGACACCACTGAGCCAAATCTGAAACATCGTTCAAGGCCGGAACAAGCACCTCTCTTCGATACCGGAAATCCAACTTGAGGGCCTTTTACTGAGCTCAAATATTTGACAATGTCAGTGACCTCATCTAGAGTGAGTAGTTTGCTGTCAAGGACCACACTGGCAAATTCTTTATGCGTCATCACTGGGAAACGTATTCCTTTCATGATCTTCTCTCCGAGAATTCTTCTTTTTACTTTACCCTCTGCGACCAAACCCTGCTTTTCCGATTCCTTTGTCGCCCACTGCATGACTGCCTTGAATAATTCCACCTCAGAAATGTCTAAGGCATCCCTTTCAACTACTGCTTCAAGTAAGGATCTCTCAATTGTCGCAAATCCATCACATTTCACGGCCTCTTCTGCCTGTTCATCGATTACTTTCCAGCACTGATCCACCAGATTTTTCTCTTCATATTTCTGAGCAAATGGCAGGATGCTGAAAACATTTGATGGATCTAAGTTTTCTTGCAGATATTCGGTGCATTTATCAGCCAGTG